GTTCAAGGCTAAAAATGGAACCTCGGGGGGGGGGACTGGATTGTCGCTGAGCCTGGCCAAACTTGGCTACGGATCCAACCCAACCAGAAGGGGCTCAGCGGGGACCCCCACCCCGATTCCCAAGCAAATCCTCTTCCCCCTCCCAGGTTACCCCCTAGAAAGACGCTTCTTTCTAAAATAACACGTTTTCTTTTCCTTTCTTCGGACGGCCCACCCATTTAGGAGAGGGTTATTTTTGTTGTTGTTGTTGCTGTATTTTTTTTTGTGCTTGTCACAAAAGGGGCGACTCGGAAGGCGTGTGCGTGTGTAAAAAAAATAATAAAAAAAAAATAAAAAAAATATTTTCCAAAGCGCCAGAAGGCAAGGAAAAGAAGCAACGGATGGAAACTCATCCAGGAGAGAAGCAACCTGGAACTAAGGAGAAACTTCCTGACCGTGAGAACAATTAACCAGTGGAACAACCTGCCTCCAGAAGCGGTGAATGCTCCAACGCTGGAAGTTTTTAAGAAGAGACTGGACGGACATTTGTCCGAAATGGTATAGGGTTTCCTGCTTGAGCAGGGGGTTGGACTAGATGACCTCCAAGGTCCCTTCCAACTTTACTATTATTATTATTATTATTAAGAAACTGGACAGCCATTTGTCCGAAATGGTGTAGGGTTTCCTGCCTGAGCAGGGAGTTGGACTAGATGACCTCCAAGGTCCCTTCCAACTTTACTATTATTATTATATTAAGAAACTGGACAGCCATTTGTCCGAAATGGTGTAGGTTTCCTGCCTGAGCAGGGGGTTGGACTAGATGACCTCCAAGGTCCCTTCCAACTTACTACTACTACTACTACTACTACTACTACTACTATTATTATTATTAAGAAACTGGACAGCCATTTGTCCGAAATGGTGTAGGGTTTCCTGCCTGAGCAGGGGGTTGGACTAGATGACCTCCAAGGTCCCTTCCAACTTTACTACTACTACTACTACTACTACTACTACTACTACTACTACTATTAAAAATGCAACGACGAGGACAGGTATAGAGAAAGAGAGAGGGTGGGAGAGGGGGGGGGGAAAGGAGAGGAGGAAGAGGTGGTGGGTGGGGGGTCGCCTCGTTTTTGGCATGCCTTGAAAAGCAGGGCGATTTCCATTAGCCCCCATCCCGGACTCGGACACCCCCTCATCCCTCCTTTCGCCCGCCCCCCCCCCACGAAAAAAACAACACCCCCCAAAAAAGCGTTAAATGCCAACTTTCAATTCTGGAGCTTTCAATTCTGGAGACAACCCGCCCCCCCTTCGCGTCGATCTGCCCTCGTCCGAGTGTCATCTGGGGGGGGGTCAGCGTGGGGGGTGGGTGGGATGGAGAGAAGGGAGGGAGACGGTGAGGAAGGGTCTCAGAGATTCCCCCTCTCGCTCGCCCTCTTTCTTTCCCGGGGGAGAGAAGGCGAGGAGCTGAAGTCCACAGCCCGCAAGAATCTTTCCGGATTTCAGAATTGTTGGCAATTGTTGGCAATTGTTGGCAATGAGCTGCAAAGCCTCTCGCCAGCGACTGGTAGATAAAGGGCTCGGATCTCCTACCTTACCGACGGTGGGAAGCGAGATCTGGCGAAAAAAGCGGTGGGCTACGACAGCCGGACCCCTTCCTTATTCCATTTCTTCCCACTAACCAAACAAATGGACCCTTTTTTTGCATCCACCGCACCGTTTTTATACATGATGAGCCGTCGGTAATAGGATTATTAAACAAAAACCCGTCTCAGGCGCTGGCGTTAACCTTTTTTTTTTGGGAGTAATGGCTAATTAGGTTTTGCACAGGAAAAAAAAAATTAGATTTAACGCGCGGCTTAGTCTTTGCCTTGCCTTTTTTCAGTGGATGCTACAAAGAATTTTGGGGGGGGGGGGAGGCGCCAGGACTGGTAAAAAAAACAATTCGGGGAGAGATAATAGAACAAAAATTAACCGTTTTAACATATATTACGGGATCCCCATCCTAGCATCAGGCGAAAGGATGTTTTCATGATCGAATATTATATACATAAAACTAATTATCCCCCCCCCCCAGCTTCTTGCCTTGATCAATTTACAGCCTGGAAAGGGAGGGGAGGGGTGCCCTCTAGCGGCCGAAGGGATGGCTGCAGCCAGGAATCCAGCAACGGGGTTTTTAGACGCCAGCGAGGCTTAAAATAAAAGATTTAAAAACGGGTCAGGAGCTGGCAGAGGACAAAATGGAACTCCTTCCTTGTTATTTTATACAGACAGAGAAAAATATTCCTATCATCCTTGCGTTCATACCATAAGGACAGGTGGAAAGAGATCTTGTCAATTTGCTGGCGTTTTAAGCATAGATCGATTAAAAAAACAAAATATGACTAATTTATTGCCGTGCTTTTAAGATGGTGATGTATGGGAGATACAAAAACCCCTGGAAGAAAGGCAAAGAAAAAAAAATATCCTATTTCAATCAAAACAAATCTGGGACAAAAATACCATTAAAATCTGTGCACGTTAAACCCAGATGTTTATCTCCAGTGAATTAAAGCCTTTGTCAAATACGGCAGGAAATCCAACCAATTCAGTTCTTATAATGCATCTCTAAAATGGCGATTTTTTTAAAAACAATTTTTATTATTTTTCCATTTTACACCAACAGAAGCTTAAGAACCAGCGTGAAGATATGGTGGTCAATTACAAAGAGAAAACAATAACATTGTGTGTGTGTGTGTGTGTGTGTGTATATATATATATAGGTCTTTGGTTATTTGGGTTTTCTCCCACGTAAAATTGGAAGTGTCTTGGCGACGTTTTGACGAAGTCTCATTCGTCATCTTCAGGCTGGTGCTTTCGGCTTCGGGCTTCTAGGAGCAATTGTATATATACAATTCATACAATATTTCTTAAAACTTCCCTCTCTATCTATGTAGAAATTATAATCAATTACATTCAAATAAATTCATTCATTAATATATCTAACTATAAATTTCCTTAATCAATAAAAACTTTCAACCAGTTGATATCAATATAATAATCAAATTAATACATTCCTATATCCAATTCATTCTTTAATGTGTTGCTATATATATAGCGACATATTAAAATGGCGATTTTTTAATAGTGTGGTTTTTGGTTCCCCCCCCAAAATATATCCCTTTCTGTTTATTAAAGCCATTTAAAACTAAGTGCAACTGAGATAGAAGGAGTTTATTTCCAGGGAAATAGGCTGTCGGTTGGAATCGTGACACCTTGTGCAATCTGGGAAATTATGTTAAATGTAATAAGATCGCTTATTAATCAAGAATTAATAAATTGAGGAGTTGCGTGCTTGGATTTTCTGCTGGGGAACCCAAAGTGAGACTTTGCATAACTGGGAATTGGGAATTGGGAAGAACCGGTTAGTTTTCACCGTCATGAATATAAATCACTAGCCAAACATCGGAATTTTGATTATATGACCATGGGGATGCGATGGCCATAAGTGTGAAAAAAATGGCTGTTGTAACTGTGAACGGTCACTAAATTAACTGTTATAAGTCGAGGACTATCTATATTGACAGCCAGCTTCACTCATTCCTCAAAGCCTCTTTTTTCAAAGGCCTTTCTTTGACGTGGACATATGAGTGTTTTCCCAAAGGTACCTTTTCAGAAGACAACTGGATTTTCTTGTTTTTCTTTGAAGATGTTTCGCTTCTCATCCCAGAAGCTTCTTCAGCTCGGATTGAATGGTGGGGAATGGAAGGATTTATACTCCTTGCAGACAGCTGGTCATTTGCCTTCTTTTAGAGAGTCATTGAAGCCACTTGGAGATTTGTCTGTGTCCTCAGGGTCACTGAGTGGTGCAAATGGGTGTGGAGACCTCTTGGAAATGCTGAAAGGACTGTGTTGTAGATCATCTACCTCCAGTCTACAACACAATCCTTTCAGCACTTCCAAGAAGGCTCCATACCCATTTGCACCACTCAGGGGACCCCCAGGACACAGACAAGCCTCCAGGTGGCCTCAACAACTCTCTAAATTAGGGTGGCGTTTAACAGAACAGCCAGTTGTCTTGGACAGTTTGAAGATTCCTGCAAATGGGCAGGGGTTGGACTAGATGACCTTCAAGGGCGCTTCCAGCCCTGCGATGGGAGGAGCGTGCTCCACTTCTGGCAGCATTGCACTGGAAGTCACACTATGTGACGTGCAGCCCGTCCTCGGCTTACGCCAGTTCATTTAGTGAGCGTTGCAAAGTTACGACGGTGCTGAAAAAAAAGGGACTTAGGACCGTTTTTCACACTTTACGACCGTTGCAGCATTCCCCCACGGTCACGTGATCAGAATCCGGATGCTTGGCAACTGACTCGCAGTTATGACGGTCGCAGCAACCCCCCCGGGGGGGGCACGTGATACCCTCTTGCGACCTTCTGACATGGAAAAGCCGGATTCACTTAACAACCAGGTTACTAAGTGAACAGACTGCAGCGATTCGCTTAACGACTGCAACAAGAAAGGTCGTAACTTAACCAATGTCTCACTTAACAACATAAATTCTGGTCGTAAGTCGAGGACTGCCTGTATTTGGTTTAATCCTGAATTGTTCAAGATTGCAAAGTGGTCGCCGTGTTTTTGGGGAGTGTGGGGGGGTTGTCATTCATTGTGTTTTGGAAATACCGTCGCTGAGTCCGGAGCGCAGATTTAATTAATGCATTCAATTAATTGAATGAATTCATACAATTCAAATTGAATTGAATTCATTCATGTTATATGCCGCCCACCTCGCGCTTCGAGGCGACTCAGCGTCCTGCAGACTGGGGGAAAGGGGAAAGAAAAAGAAAAAAAGAGAGAGAGAGAGAGACACGCGAAAAGAATTGGCCAAAACTACGTCGGAATCAGCCCGCAGCGGTTTCAGTGGGGGGAGCCCCGCCCACCGAGCCGCCCCGCCTCCCGACGGGACGACGCAAACGCGCTCTGCGCATGCCCCGCCGGGCAGCCGGGTGACCCCCGGAAACGGGCGGCTAGACGCATGCGCACCACGAGGCGTCAGGCGACGAGGTCGCTGCGTCTCTCTCTCTCTCTGCCTCTTTCCTCCTTCCCTGACTCGGCGGGCGGGGTCACGCGCCTGCGCAGAAGCGGCCTCCTTGCCCCCTCAGCGTCGCTCCGGCTTCCCTCGCGGGCGGCCTTCGAGCTTCTTCCCCGCGGCGAGCGAGCGAGCGAAGCCGGGCGGCGGCGGCCATGGCGGACACGGCGCAGAACGGGCCCATGCAGGGCGGAGCGGGCGGCGGGGCGGTGGTGAGCGACCGCGCGGGCCTTTCCTTCCCCCCTTTCTCCTCCTCCCCCCCCCCGCGTCGGACTACATGACCCATCGTCCCCGGCGTTTCCCGCCTCGCGTGGGGCGGGGCTTTCAAGCCCACTAAGGTCGCCGGGTCGGGAAAAGGGCGGGGTGTCCTGTCGGCCTCTTTCCCCCCCTTTTTTTTTCCTGGTTGCCCTTTGATCTCCCGTCTTGTGATGAATGAAGCCGCCCGGGGGTTTCTACGTGGTCTCCCATCCCCTGATCAGTCAACCAACCCAGAGATTTCCATGTGGCCTCCCATCCCAGGGCCTCCTATCCCCTGATTAATCAACCATTGTGGGGATTTCCATGTGGTCTCCCATCCCCTGATCAGTCAACCAACCCAGAGATTTCCATGTGGCCTCCCATCCCAGGGCCTCCTATCCCCTGATTAATCAACCATTGTGGGGATTTCCATGTGGCCTCCCATCCCCTGATTAATCAACCAACGCAGAGATTTCCATGTGGCCTCCCATCCCAGGGCCTCCCATCCCCTGATTAATCAACCATGTGGGGATTTCCATGTGGTCTCCCACCCCCTGATCAATCAACCAACCCAGAGATTTCCATGTGGCCTCCCATCCCAGGGCGTCCTATCCCTTGATTAATCAACTATTGCGGGGATTTCCATGTGGCCTCCCATCCCCTGATTAATCAACCAACCCATAGATTTCCATGTGGTCTCCCATCCCAGGGCCTCCTATCCCCTGATTAATCAACCATTGCAGGGATTTCCATGTGGCCTCCCATCCCCTGATTAATCAACCCAGAGATTTCCATAAGGCCTCCCATCCCAGGGCCTCCCATCCCCTGATTAATCAACCAACCCGAGGGATTTGTTCGTGGTCTCCCATCCCAGGCATGACCTTGGTGCTAAGGGAAGAGCTGCTTCACACACACACACAAACACACACACAATCACAATACAGGCAGTTCTCGACTTAACGACCACATTGAGCCCAAAAATTTACCTTGAAAAATTTGTTCAGTGAGTTTTGCCCCATTTTACGACCTTTCCTGCCACTGTTCTTAAGTGAATCACTGCTGCTGTTAAGTTAGTCACACGGTCGTTAAGTGAATCTGGCTCCCCCCCACTGACCTTGCTCGTCAGGAAGTCAAAAAAAAAGGAAATCGCATGACCCGGGGGACGCTGCAACGGTCATAAGTGTGAGTCACCTGTCCAGCGTCCGCGTGCAAAAAATCACATGACCCGGGGGAACGCTGCAACGGTCATAGGGGTGACAAATGGTCCTCGGTCCCTTTTTTCCGTGCCGTTGGAACTTTGAACGGTCACTAAATGAACCGTTGTAAGTCGAGGACTGCCTGTAAAACAGAATTGCTCCTGCTGTCTTTCTATGTGCAACTGCTGAAGAATTGTTAACTTAATGGCAGGCTTTACACTTTTTCTGATATGAACTTTTTTTTTCCCCCCCTTTCGTTTTAGCAATTTCTGATGAGTAACAAGTTGGAGACGGCGATGTGGCTTTCTCGTCTATTCACAGTTTATTGTTCGGCTTTATTTGTCCTTCCTCTTCTGGGGTAGGTGTCATATTCTCTTCAAAAGTCACGACGCTCCTTGTCTTTCCAAGATGCAGTATAGTATAGTATAGTATAGTATAGTATAGTATAGTATAGTATAGTATAGTATAGTATAGTATAGTATAGTATAGTATAGTATAGTATAGTATAGTACAGTACAGTACAGTACAGTACAGTACAGTACAGTACAGTACAGTACAGTACAGTACAGTACAGTACATTATATTGTCATGAATGAAGGACAATATCTTGGGTCTACACGTATAAGAGACGTGGTCCAGGCAGGTATATTAGCCGTTTGATGTTCCACTAATTGTAGGTCAATCATTGATTTCAATGGCAAAGATCACATTTTGGATTTAACTTACCAGTAGGGCAGTAGAATAAGCTTTGATGGTGATCAACCTTTTCTAAACAATTGCTGCTTCTGATTTTAGTGGTTTAATTTTGGCCTGGGCAATAATGGGGACGTAACCTCAGCGGAGACAAACATGCAGATTTCAAATTAGTTCTCCTAATTTAAAACTCTTTAAAATATTGTGGAGCTATCTACATTTGTTTTATTCTTTTCTGGGAATGAAAGAGTGTGCTGGGACACCACCTTCATGAAGCTAGAGCCATTGTCTTCAGTGGAAGGAATAATAATAATAACAACGACGATGATGATAAAGTTGGAAGGGACTTAGGGAGATCTTCAATTGATTTATTGCTAAACAGCTTATGCAGTTATCTTCCCAGCTAATGGTTAGCGTCGGGTTAGACTTAAAGGTCTAAATAATAGTAGTAATAATAATAAAGTTGGGAGGGACCTTGGCGGTCATCTAGTCCAACCCCCTGCTCAAGTGGGAGACCCCATACCATTTCAGATAAATGAAACCAGTCTCTTTTTGAAAGTCCCCAGTGATGGAGCACCCACAACTTTCTGGAGGCTGGTTGTTCCACTGGCTAATTGTTCTCACTGTCAGGAAGTTTCTCCATAGTTCTCTCCTGGATGAGTTGCTTCTTGTCTGGCCTTCGGATGCTTTGGAGAATAGCTTGACTCCCTCTTCTTGGGGGGGCAGCCCCTGAGATATTGGAGCCCCGCTGTCGTGTCCCCCCCTGGCCCTTCTCTTCATGAAAGTTCATTAATAATAATTCACTAATGATGCCCTTGGCTGTGAGCAGGGCGGGTTTCAGAAACGCTGGGATGGGGGATGATGCAACTCCAGGCTCGTGGGAGGGTGACTTGAGAACACGCGGCTTGTTGGTGTGGTAACCTCTCCTTTCATAATTCCCAGGTTGCACGAGGCAGCCAGCTTTTACCAGCGGGCTTTGCTGGCGAACGCACTCACCAGCGCCCTGCGTCTCCACCAGCGGCTGCCCCATTTCCAGCTAAGCCGGGCCTTCTTATCTCAAGCCCTGTTGGAAGACAGCTGCCATTACCTTTTGTACTCCCTCATCTTCGTCAATTCCTACCCCGTCACCAGTATCCTTTTCTCGAACGGGCGCTTAACGCTATGCTCAGGGGAGACAAAAGAGCGGGAGCCGCACACTTGTCGCAGGGCTGAGCTGGGCTGCAAGGCAATCCTTAGAGGTATGATGATAATAAAGTTGGAAGGGGCCTTGGAGGTCATCTAGTCCAACCCCCTGCTCAGGCAGGAGACCCTAGACCAGGGGTTCTCAACCTGTGGGTCGGGACCCCATTTGGGGTCGAACGACCATTTCACGGGGGTCGCCAAACAACACAGTCCGCCATTTCCCCCCCCCCCATTTTCCTTAGCTGTGCTACTCCCTTTTATTCTATTGGCTTTTGAAAGCTAATAGAATAGACTCTCTTGAATAGAGCCTAATTCTATTGGCTTTCAAAAGCCAATAGGAATTGTCCAGGCTGTCTCTGCCCTGCTGAGCCCGTCAAAAGTCCCATTCTGCAAACGGTGCTGCACCAGTTGTGTAGTCCTCGACTTACGACCGGTTGAGTAGTCCTTGACTTACAACTGGTTGGGGGTCGCGGCATTAAAAAGGTTGAGAACTGCTGCCCTAGACCAGTGATGGTGAACCTTTTAGAGACCAAAATGCCCAAAGTGCAACCCAAAACCCGCTTATGCGTCGTCGGGTGCCGGGTGGGTGTGGCCCATTGGATGGGTGTGGCTCATTGGGTGGGTGTGGCTGCGGTGGTAACGGCAGACTGGGTGGGACTAAAAAGTTCAATCAATTCCAATTTTGCAAGATCTTTTTTTCCCCGCGAGAAGCTGAAATTGACTGATTGATTGAACTTTTTCTCTTTTTTTTGCACATGGCAGCGGAGGTCTAAAACGAAAAGATTTTATAAAACCCAGCTGAAGGCCTAGGACTGGGGCGTGCCCACAGAGAAGGCTCTGAGTGCTGCCTCTGGCACCCGTGCCATAGGTTCGCCACCACTGCCCTATCCCATTTCAGACAAGTGGCTGTCCAGTCTCTTCCTAAAAACTTCCAGTGATGGAGCACCCACAACTTCTGGAGGCAAGCAGTTCCCCTGGTTAATTGTTCTCACTGTCAGGAAGTTTCTCCTTAGTTCTAGGTTGCTTCTCTCCTTGGTTAGCTTCCATCCGTTGCTTCGCCGTATTGCCGTGTTTTGCCATTCCCCAATTCCAGGAGTTTGTCGACACTTTAATAATAACGTGGCGCCCTTAACTTTCCCTCCAGTGAGCATATTCCCCGTGCTGTTGTTCTCGTTGCTCCACGCAGTGACCTACACGAAGAAAGTTCTTGATGTAAGTATGGATGTTGACCTCTAGCCCAGTGGTTCTCAACCTGTGGGTCGGGACCCCATTTGGGGTCGAACGACCATTTCACGGGGGTCGCCAAACAACGCAGTCCGCCATTTTTTCCCCCTTTTCCTTAGCTGTGCTACTCCCTTTTATTCTGTTGGCTTTTGAAAGCCAATAGAATAGACTCTCTTGAATAGAGTCTAATTCCATTGACTTTCAGAAGCCAATAGGAATTGTCCAGGCTGTCTCTGCCCTGCTGAGCCCGCCAAAAGTCCCATTCTGCAAATGGTGCTGCACCAGTGGAGTAGTCCTCGACTTACGACCGGATGAGTAGTCCTTGACTTACGACTGATTGGGGGTCGCGGCATTAAAAAGGTTGAGAACCACTGCTCTAGTCTGTTTTTTTTTTCCTGCTTTTGAGAGCTGGGCTGCTTTTCTGAGCAATTTTTCTCCCAACCTCGGGAAGGTTTCAAGTTGGGTGGACTTCTTCAACATTCCCAAAGTTGAGACAAAAACCTGTTTCCTTCTTATTGCAGTTAAGAAGGTTGTGGAAGAGAGCATAAAGCTGCATTTTTCTTCTTTTTAGAACAGAGGTCACCAACCTTTGTCGGTTGACGGAGTGGAGGAAAAGGGAGGGGCGCGTGCGCGTGGGGCCACGAGCATGCGCCTGCCGTAAACGGGGCAGGGCTAGCGCTCACGTGATACTAGCCCTGGCCCTATCCTTGAATGGCACAGCACCTTATTTCTGCGCTGTGTAACAGTGGCCATTTTTGCGCCTTGCAGCGTGGTGCTGGCCCATTTCTGCACCCCAGTGGCGGACCGTTTTTGCGCCCCGCAGTGTGGCAGTGGCCCATTTCTGCACCCCATGGTGTGGCGGCATCCATTTTTTTGTGCCTTGCAGCGTGGCATCGGCCCGTTTTTGTGTCCTGCGGTGTGGCCTGTTTTCGCACCCTGAGATGCAGCGGCGTCCTGTTTTTGCATGCCACGCGCTAGCACAAGGGAGGAGGTGTGTGTGCACACACGCGCACACTGGTCAGCCTGTTCCCGTGGCCTGGTGGCCAGCAGGACACTGCCCGCTACCGGCCCATGGCCCACAGGTTGGGGATCCCTGCTTTAGAAGTTTAGAGAATTATTAGAGAAATAATATTTCCCATGAAACTCCGCAAGGACCAGCGTACTAGTCAGCAGGCAGCTGTGGAGCCACCTACAGGCAGTCCTTGACTTATAACAGTTCACTTTAGTGACCGAAGTTGTAACGCCATTGAAAAAAAAGTGACGTAGGATCATTTTTCACCTTTACGACCCTTGTAATATCATCCGGATGGTCACGTGATCAAAATTCTGCCACTTGGCAACTGGCATGCACTTATTCCTGTTTCTCCAGCGTCGCTGGGGTCACGAGATCTCCTTTTGCAGCCTTCCGACAAGCAAAGTCAATGGGGAAACCGGATCCGCCTAACAACCGCGTTGCTCATTTAACAACGGCAATGATTCACGCAGCCACTGTGGCAAGACAGGTCTTTAAAAGGGGGCAAAATTCACTAAGCGACACAATTTGGGACGCCGTGGTCGTAAATTGTAGATTACTTGTGCTAGGTATATTGTGCTAGAAAGCAGTTGTGAGAGGCTTGTTGCATGCAAGCGATATGTTTGTCGTCTTGGGGCTGTGAAATATGCTTTCCATACTTAGAGACATTTTTTAACGGTATTCAGAGTTAATTAACTCTTTAGATTTGCAAGGATCTGCATGTTGGGAAGCTGGTTTAGATCTTAGAGCAGGGGTCTTCAAACTTGGCCCTTTGATGACTTGTGGACTTCAACTCCCAGAATTCCTCAGCCAGGCACACGTGCCTGGCTGAGGAATTCTGGGAGTTGAAGTCCACAAGTCATCAAAGGGCCATGTATGAAGACACCTGTCTTAGAGGGTTAATTAGTGCCTTCCCTGGTGTATAAATATCAGAGTTGAACATAATTTTATTTTTCATTAGTAAATTAGCATTATAAGGGTATGTGCTAATTTGTTTTTTCTCCCATTTTTTTTTTAAAGGCACGAGGCTCAAATAGTCTTCCTTTCCTAAGAAATCTGTTGGACAAGCTAAACGCCAATCAACAAAACATCTTAAAGTTTATTGCCTGCAACGAAATCTTCTTGATGCCAGCTACCGTGTTTATGCTTTTCAGGTATGTGTCCTTTATAGTCCTTCATATATATATATTTTCCAAGCTATTTCAACTGAACCCAAAGTTTGGAATGTTGTATTTCCTGTCTCTCAAAAGAAACTGGATTTACTATTGGCTGAACATGTAGGCTCAGGGGAGTGACTTATTCAAGGCTTACGATCTCGCTGTGAGAACTTAAAATAGCCCCAAGGCCCAACTCTCTGGAACTATTTACAGAGAATCTGCATCAGTTGAGTGAAAGACCTGCGTTCACTTAATTCTTAGATGAATTTGATTTTCAAGTCAATCACATTAACCAAGTCCTAAGATCAACTAAACCAAAACTGGATTTTATTTCTATTTTTTTTAAATGTTTTTTTTTCATTCCTGCAGCGTCTCCATGCTGTATCTTCACTGCTTTCCAGAAACCTGTAAATTATAAGTTTTAACGGTTGCTTAAGTTAATAATAGCTCGGTGGCTCCTTAGGACAGTGGTTCTCACCTTTTTAATGCCGCGACCCCCAACCGGTCGTAAGTCGAGGACTACTCAACCGGTCGTAAGTCGAGGACTACTCAACTGGTGCAGCACCGTTTGCAGACTGGGACTTTTGGCGGGCTCAGCAGGGCAGAGACAGCCTGGACAATTCCTATTGGCTTTTGAAAGCCAATAGAATTAGACTCTATTCAAGAGAGTCTCTTCTATTGGCTTTCAAAAGCCAATAGAATGAAAGGGAGTAGCACAGCCAAGGAAAAGGGGAAAAAAATGGCGGACTGCGTTGTTTGGCGACCCCCGTGAAATGGTCGTTTGACCCCAAATGGGATCCCGACCCACAGATTGAGAACCTCTGCCTTAGGGGAAGTAGGTCTGCATACAGAATGTTATGGTAAAGAGCTGGATGGAACTGGAAGGGACCTTGGAGGTCATCTAGTCCAGCCCCCTGCTCAAGCAGGATTCTTCTTCTGCCATATCCGTTATCGGACGTTGGCGATCATGTTGGCGATCCTGTTTTTATCAGCAGCCGCGCGAAAAAGTGCTGCTGGGTTTTGTCCCAACCAGTCCCTTAGATTTTGATCGTGCAGGATACCCTACACCATTTTAGACAAGTGACTGTCCAGTCTCTTATTAAAAATCTCCAGTGATGAAGCACCTACAACTTATGGACAATTAACTTAATGATTAATTGTCCTCACTCAGGAAATTTCTCAGTTCTAGGTTCCTTCTCTCTTTGGTTGGTTTCCATCCTTTGCTTCTTGTCCTGCCTTCAGGTGCTTTGGAGAATAGCTTGACTCCCTCTTCTTTGTGACAGCCCCTGAGATACTGGAAGACTGCTATCCTGTCCCCCCTCGTCCTTCTCTTCATTAAACTAGACATCCCCAACTCATTCTTCATATGTTTTAGTCTCCAGGCCTTCAATCACCTTAGTTGCTCTTAGTTGAGGTTTCCATTCGATACGTTGAGCGGGAGAATTTTGTTTAGCATATTTTAAGGGAAAAAGTATGGTAAGGTCTTGTCGAACAACTGTAATTAGAACTGGGATTTTCATTGCTAAGCGGTGCAGTTGTAAGATGTAACATTATGTGACTGTGCCAGGTTACAGTGACACTTCCAGCAATTCCAGTTGCGGTCATTAAAGCAAATTCTGTTAAGATTGCAAGCATCCCACAGTCACTATTTGTTATCTCCTACTGGTTTTCCTGTGGACTTTGCTTGTCTGTTGCAAATTGCAATCAGGTAACCGTGGGATGCTGCAATGTCATCATTGTGAGTCAGTCTGAAACAAACACACACCTACCTGACGAGACGGATAGGTATCGTTGTTATAAATCGCTCTTAAATATTGGGAAGGGCAGAACAAAATGTATTTTTTATTAATTTGGTATATCTCCCACGGGATTCAGACACTAAAGAGATATATATATATATATATATATATATATATATATATATATATATATATATATATATATATATATATTTCTTACACGGGGAGAGAATTTTGAAGAGGTGCAGCCATCTGACTTATTTTATTTATTTATTTATTTTTGCCTTGGAATATTTGTCACAATTAAGGTCATTATGTGAGCGGCTGATAGATAATGCATTTATAGTCAGGCTAACATATGGCACCATATTGCCAGGAGGGAGCTGGGGGGGGGGAAGAGGGGGGGGGCTGTCCTAGACATGGTTTCTTGGAAGGGAGCCCAATTAAACTCATTGAGGCTTATTTTTAAATAAGGGAGTTGCTTTCAGACTAGCCTGCATAGAAAATAATAATTTGCACTGAACAGAGAGGAGCCTGTTTCTGAAGTTGGACAGGGTTGGCTGCTTCTTTCTTCTTTCCTCCTTCCTCTCCTCCTCCTCCTCCTCCTCCTCCTCCTTCTTCTTCCGCCTTTCTTCTTCTCCTTCTGTTCTTTTCTGACTTCTTCAGTTCTTCTTTTTCTTCTTCTTTTCCTTCTTCCTTCTTTTCCTTCTTCCTTCTTCCTTCTTTTTTCTTTCTTCTGTTCTTTTCTGACTTCTTCAGTTCTTCCTCCTCCTCCTCCTCTTCTTCTTTTCTGACTTCTTCAATTCTTCTTTTTCTTTTTCTTCTTTTCCTTCTTCCTTCCTTCTTTCTTCTTCTGTTCTTTTCTGACTTCTTCTTCCGCCTTTCTTCTTTCTTCTTTCTCCTTGTTCTTTTCTGACTTCTTCTTCTTCCGCCTTTCTTCTTCTTTCTCCTTCTGTTCTTTTCTGACTTCTTCTTCTTCTTCTTCTTCTTCCTTCTTCCTTCTTCCTTCTTCCGCCTTTCTTCTCCTGTTCTTTTCTGACTTCTTCAGTTCTTTTTCTTCTTCCTTCTTCCGCCTTTCTTCTTTCTTCTGTTCTTTTCTGACTTCTTCAGTTCCTCCTCCTCCTTCTCTTCTTCTTCCTCCTCCTCTTCTCCTTCTTCTTCTCCTCCTCCTCCTCCTTCTTTTCTGACTTCTTTAGTTCTTCTTCTTATTTGGATTATTCTTATTCTTCTCCTTCTCCTCCTCCTCCTCCTCCTGTCACCCTTTTTTAATATTTCCACTATTTCTTGGCAATTGAAGCGTGTTACATAACGAGCTAGAGATCTACTTGCCTGTATGCGTATCTATGCAACGTTAAAACCTATGTAAGATTATTCGTTCAAAATGTGGCCTACAGCTAGTCCTCGGCTTACGGCCGCAGCTGAGCCCAGAATCTCCGTTGTTACGTGAGATGGTCGCGAAGTGAGTTTTGCTCCCCTTTCTTACGACCTTGCCTAATTAAGAGAATCGCTGCGGTGGTTAAGTGAGTAACCCGGCCGTTAAGTGAATCCAGCTTCCCCCATTGACTCTGCTTGTCAGAAGGTCACAAAAGGGGATCGCGTGACACACACACACCCCCGGGGGACACTGCAACCGTCGTAAGTTCATGCCAGTTTCTAAGCCTTCCAGTTTTGATCACGTGACCCTGGGGAGACTGCAGCGGTCGTAAGTGTGAAAACGGACATAATTCACTTTTTCCAGCGCCTGTTGTAACTTTGAACAGTCACGAAGCGAGCGGGTTGTAAGCCGGGGACCCCCTGTATAATATTATAAAACGTATCTTGATGAAGAAATAAACCGCTGTTGTTGTTATTTTAACCCGCTTTCCTCGTTTTCTTGTGTCCTTTTCAGCGGACAAGGAAGCTTGTTGCAACCTTTTATTTACTACCGGTTTCTTACACTCCGCTACTCTTCCCGGAGAAATCCTTACTGCCGGTAAGAAGCCAATGAGGACTACTCACATGTAAAATCGCCGTAGCAGTGTTTAAGCAGGGAGGCGTTGGGGTTCCTCTACGATTTCTCTTTTACCTCTGTGATTCCATTTTTATTTTATTTTATTTGTTTACAAAACGCTTCCACCTGCCCGAAGGGTTACAAATTGTGGCCACGGGTGTTTGTATGTAGGTCTTTGGTTGTTCGGGTTTTCTCCCGCGTCAAATTGGAAGTGTCTTGGTGACGTTTCGACGAAGTCCCATTTGTCGTCTTCAGGCTGGTGTTTTCGGCTTTGTGCTTCTAGGAGCAATGCTTCTAGGTTGCGCCTAAATTCCAGTGAAATTTAGCGTGAGCTACACCTGGAGCCCCAAATGGATGTTGCTGAGCAAAATGGCCATTAAGTGACCGCGGGCATGCTGCAAGTGGAAAATGGTCATAAGTCACTTTTTCATGTTGCAGTCACTAAAAGAGAGAGGGGGGGGAAGGAAGAGAAAGAAAGAGAGAAAAAGGGAGAAAGAAAGAAAGGAAAAGAAAGAGAGAAGGAAAGGAAGAAAGAAAGAGATAGACAGACAGAAAGAGAGACACAGAGAGGAAGGGAGGAAGAGAAAGAAAGAGAAAGAGATAAGGAAAAAAGGAAGATAGAAAGGAAAGAAAAAGGAAGGAAGGAAGGAAAAGAAAGGAGAAAAGAGAAAGAAAGGAAGAAAGAGAGAAGGAAGGAAGATAAAAAAGAAAAACAGAAAGAGAAAGAAGGAAAGGAAGGAAGAAAGAGAAGGAAGGAAGATAAAAAGAGAAAGAGGAAGGAAGGAAGAGAAAGAGAAAGAAAGACAGAGAAAGGAAGGGAGAGGAAGGAAGAGAAAGAAAAAGGGAGAAAGAAAGGAAAAGAAAGAGAAGGAAAGGAAGGAAGAAAGAAAGATAGACAGACAAAGAGACACAGAAAGAGGAAGGGAGGAAGAGAAAGAAAGAAAAAGAAGGAAGAAAGGAAGAGAAAGGAGGAAAGAAAGAAAGGAAGAAAGAAGGAAAGGAAGGAAGATAAAAAAGAAAGAAACAAAGAGAGAAGAAGGAAGAAAGAAGGAAAGGAAGGAAGGAAGATAAAAGAAAGAGAAAGAAAGGAAGGAAGAGAAAGAAAGACAGAGAGAAAGGAAGGAAGAAAGAGAGAGAGAGAAGTGCTTCCGTTTCACGTGTACTTGAAAATATATTCTCTTTTTCAGGACCCTCTTCACAGAGCTGAGGATTGTAGTGGAGCATCTCATAATGAAGCCTTCTTGCCCGCTGTTTCTGCGAAGACTCTGCGTGAGCAGTATTTCTTTTATAAGCAGACTGGCCCCCACAGTGGCGTAGCCCACCCTGGAAACCTCCGTACGTCTTTCTCTCTCTCTCTCTCTCTCTCTCTTTCTCTCTCAAAGGACATTCTGAGCAGCTGGTATTTCTGCTGGGGGTTTATAAATTCAGGATCTCAGTCAAGGTCGTGTATAGAAATGGTTCCTTCCAAGAATTCGTTTCGTGGAGTGTATCTATATGGGGTTGTGTTCATTATTTTTTTTATATATATATATATTTTGTTTGGCTGGTTGCTTGTTTTCTAAAAGTCTGTTTTATTTTCCTCCTCTGTTCTGTGGACCACCAGTTCCTCTTAGGCAGAGTTCTCTCTCTCTCTCTCTCTCTCTTTTTTTTTTTAGGCGAGCGTTAATCTGTGTCGTACAATAGGGTTTGCGTGTCGTGATCTCATTAATGCCGCAACGCAAAATTCTTTCTTCCACACCAAGGGACGGTGTCAGGCAGTGCTGTCTGGATCGGGTCTTAACCAGCTGTGATTCGGTACTTCCTGGGCTTCGAAATACCTTCCTACGCGGTACATTTGAGTCAGTATTGCTTTGGTGAATAAATGGAAGTCCATTAAGTTATCCCAATCAGCAGGAAGCACCTGCTCTGACCAGGTCCAAACATTTAACTCTGTTCTTCTGATTTGTTCAATGCCTTTCTCCAGCAAGATCTTGATTTTTCTCGGTCCATATTTCTTGATGCTACCTGAATGCCGTCTGCCACCGGCTTCTCTTCTGAAACTGGGATTCTTAAAAATGCCAATCTGTGAAACCTTAGAATAATAAAGATGGATGTTAACGTTTATTCCCGAGAAACTCCTGGTGTTTGTGCCCCAAGCATCGCTCAGCTAGACGGCTTCGATTCAACCTCTGTGGGAGATTCCTAAACTACAAGAGAAATCCAATCTATACACGTTGCACGGAAGCATCAGAATACATTTACAAGTAGCCAAGAAAGATTTTTCCCCATAAGGCAGAAGCAGAGCTTTTAAAATACAAAATGCACCTCTCTTTTCTTGCCAGCCTGTGGGTCTGTTTGTGTTGGCACTCGCTATCCTACAACTGGACAGGTACACGAGTATTTTCATCCTTGCTCCTCACCTTGATCAGGTATGGAGGTGTGAGATGCAGGCTTAGAAACCTGAAGGATTTCTCTCTGGTCAACTGCGTAGCTGTACCAAGAAACATTCCACCGATCGTGGTAGCTATGGGGCATGTGTGTGTATGCACTTTAGTTGAGAATCACATAGCAGCAAATTACCACCTAGGAGAGTGTTCTCTCAACCTTGAAGAGATGTGGACTTCAAATCCCAGCATGGCTGGCTGAGGAATCCTGGGAGTTGAAGTCCACACCTTTTAAAGTTGCCACGAATAGAATAGAATAGAATAGAAAATGGAATGGAATGGAATGGAACAAAATAGAGTAGATCTTGGAGGTCATCTAGTCCAACCCCCTGCTCAGGCAGGAAACCCTATACCAGTGGTTCTCAACCTGTGGGTCGGGACCCCATTTGGGGTCGAACAACCATTTCATGGGGGTCGCCAAACAACGCAGTCCGCCATTTTTTTCCCCTTAGCTGTGCTACTCCCTTTTATTCTATTGGCTTTTGAAAGCCAATAGAAGAGATTCTCTTGAATAGAGTCTAATTCTATTGGCTTTCAAAAGCCAATAGGAATTGTCCAGGCTGTCTCTGCCCTGCTGAGCCCGCCAAAAGTCCCATTCTGCAAACGGTGCTGCACCAGTTGAGTAGTCCTCGACTTACGAACGGTTGAGTAGTCCTCGACTTACGACTGGTTGGGGGTCGCGGCATTAAAAAGGTTGAGAACCACTGCCCTATACCATTTCAGACAAATGGCTGTCCAGTCTCTTCTTAAAAACTTCCAGTGTTGCAGCATTCACAACTTCTGGAGGCAGGTTGTTCCATTGATTAATTGTTCTAACTGTCAGGAAGTTTCTCCTTAGTTCCAGGTTGCTTCTCTCCTGGATTAGTTTCCATCCGTTGCTTCTTGTCCTGCCTTCAGGTGCTTTGGGAATAGTTTAACCCCCTCCTCTTCTTTGGAGCAGCCCCTCAGATACTGGAAGACTGCTATCCTGTCCCCCCTGGTCCTTCTCTCCATTAAACTAGACATACCCAATTCCAGCAACCGTTCCTTGTATGTTTTAGCATCCAGTCCTCTGATCATCTTTGCTGAGAAACACTATCCTTGGGGAATCAACAGCCATGCAGGAATTAGCCACCCCCTAGGCTTAATGCTGAAATTGCCGAACAGTGACACTTTTCGCCCAAGTGGAGGTGTCACAACACCCTAGTCTGGCTCATCCTGTTTGTGAGTTCTTCCTACGCATCTGTTCGACTACAGTAGGAATTAAAACATAGATAGCCCTCGACTTAACGACAGCTGTTTAGTGACCGTTCCAAGTGAACAGTGGCACTGGGGGAAAAAAAAATGACCCTTTTTCACACTTGCGACCGTTACAGCATCCCCGCGGTCATGCGATCAGAATTCGGACATTTGGCAACTGGTTCACACTTTACGATGGTTTGCTGTGTCCCCGGAGGTCACGCGACCCCCTTTTGCCAAGTCAACGGGGAAGGCAGCTTTGTTGAACGACCGTCGTTACAAACTGAACAGCTGTGATTCGCTTCACCTGGCAAGGAAAGTTGCAAAATGGGAGAAAAGTCACTTCGCAGACGTCTCACTTAGCAACAGATGTTGGGCTCCTTTGTGGCCATACGCTGAGGCTCTACCCGCATTGTTCTCAGCGGTACTTTTAGCTTCTCACCGTGACTTTTGGGTCGATAACGGAACTCAGCTTTTGTGTGTGTGTTTGCTGCACGTTTCATCTCAGTCAGGTGTGAGAAGCTTGCCTTAAGCTGATGGTTTACTTATTGAGATCTGACACAGCCCGGTGGACGTCTTGGGAATCCCTGAATTTATGGGATGGATTTCCAAGGGGACGCATGGATAACCCTACGCGTGGGGCGAAAAAGGGAAGACGAGAGAGCAGGACTTCAGCAGAAGAGCCAATACAACGTTGTGTCAAACCCCTGAAGCTTTAGCTATAGCCCTGCAGGGCTTCTCAAAAAAATTGCTGCTGCCGTATTGCAATTTTTAATACGAAAGGAAGGTTTAATTTATTTGATCCGTAAGGGCAATCATGTTAGGTGTTTGACGAACCATTTCGTTTTAATCTTGGCCACTTGGCGGGTGTCCCTGAGGCATTCATGAGCTAAAGTAGGAGAAAGGTCTGAGTGAGGGACTCCACCCAATATTATTATTATTATTAATAATAATAGTAATAAGCAAAAACTGGTGGGATCATAAAATAGAGAAAGTCATAGAAAATGATAAAATTAAACTGCTTTGGGACTTCAGAATTCAAACAGGCAAGCAACTGCAACGTAACACCCCAGACTTAACAATTGTCGATAAGAAAGACAAAAAAGTCTGGATAGTGGACGTGGCAGTACCTGGAGACAGCAGAATAGAAGAGAAAGAACTGGAGAAGATCACAAAATACAAAGACCTACAAATAGAAATAGAAAGACTGTGGCAAAAGCAAGCAAGGGTAGTACCAATAGTCATAGGCTCCTTGGGTGCAATCCCAAAACAACTGGAGCACCACTTGAACACCATTGACATTGACAAATTCGCTATTAGTCAATTGCAAAAGGCGGCCTTACTAGGAACTGCTTCCATCCTGCGACGATATCTGTAATACCATCAAACATCACATCTGCCTATCCCAGGTCCTGGGTAAGGACTCGATAGGTAGACAAAATGCCAAATCCAGTCTGAACATCTGGCTGACTGCGATGATCCATAATAATAATAATAATAATAATAAAGTTGGAAGGGACTTGATGTATTTTCCACGTCCATCAATGTTTTAGCTCTCCTCCTCAGTTTGTCTGCTGACTTGTTTCCAAAGCCCAAATCCCTGCCTTTTTTTCCCTAAGGATTTGTGTTTTAAGATGGGAAAAATGATTTTGGCTTAGCTATGACTTATACACTGATTTCTTTGTGGGTTTTCTCATAATTCAGCGTCTTGACTTTTGCCTTAATTGATGCATTGAAATAATTACATTTGATGCAGTTGTTTCAAAACATGTTTATTATGTTTTTGGAGAGGACAGCTTGAATGCCATTTTGATTAAACTCGTCCATTAGCTTCGTTGTAGACAGTTTGGTACGCTACTTATTCATAATCTTCCTGTTCTGATAAAGTATTCCTAAAGGAGGCTGAGATCCTTCTACTTGGGATCTTACTCACTGATTTATAGAGAAGCTGCTTAAAAGGGTGCACAAATGCTGAGATTTCCTTCTATGCTCTCTCTCCTGTTTTGACTTTTTTTTGGGGGGAAAAAAACCTAAAATGGCTGCAAGCAGTAAAGCAAACATTTTAACAATAGGCTAGCATGGAATATCTGAGCCGACTTCAATCGGATTTGCATCTGTAGAAGCCGAATTTTGTGATTCTGGAATTCTGAAACAGCATTTTAAAAGATTAAACGATTATTAGCACTTTGTGGCTGCCAGCTAGACCTTCAGCCCTCGCTCACCCTTTTGCAAGCTGTTAGTGAAAAAATAAATACGCAGGGACGAAGCGTCCTGTGCTTTGCAACTTTGCAATTCCCATTCATTTTATTACACAGGAGCGCCCAAGCTGAAAAAGTCACCTAACCACTTTTTTTTTTTTAAATGGCTTTTGAGGAGTGATGGTTGATGGATATATTAGCACTGGTGGGGGGTGGGGGGAGTATCGTCACTGCACTGTAAAGAACAAAATGGATGTATTAGCCGGGGGAGGGGGCAATTAAAACCTTAGTTTTGCTCTTGAAAACTTACTAGGGGAAAAAGAAATAAAAAACGGTCTTCAGAAATAATCCAAATATTTTAGCACCATCCACTCTTATCAAGGTTTTTAAGCTGGCCTGCAACTCAAGGCATGGGGCATGTAGTCCTTCCTTTTCCTTGAAAGTTAGACTAGCTTTGTTGGCTTACATTATATATTCCTTTTGTGTGTGTGTGTGTGTGTGCATGTGCGTGTGCAGAGAGCTTGGTCTTGCCCATACTAACAGCAATTTTTTAGGTAGCAGATTGTTGCTGCATCTCTCCGGCTGAGCATAAATTAGGTAATAAATAAATAAATGGAAAAAAATCCATCGTTTTCCTTGTCTTCAAGGACCGGAGCGCCAAATGCTAATGCCGGCCTCAAGAGAGGAAAGAAATTCTCCTGCATATTTGAGAAAAATGTGAAACCTTTTCAAAGAAATCTAATAAACATAATCATCTCTCAGCCTGCTGACACGGAGGAAAGGAGCCTTTTTTTTCTTTTTCTTTTTAAATGCCACAATTTAGCGGCCCCCGCTGATTTACAAAATTGGATCACCGCAGTGAATTATCCCTGCCCGGTAACCTGTGAAAATAAGTGCTGAGTTCCATATCGGTTTCGGAGCGCTGCTTAAATCAGCAAAAATGATAAATTGGAGGGCCCGAGAACGTTGGGAATAAACACCCGGGCCTTTCTTCAGCGATTGGGCAAAATGCTTTCTTTCCCCCCCCCCCCCCCGCCCCTTGTAAAATTTATTGTGACCCTCTTTTCATTCCAGACACTTTGCAGTGCGTCAGATATTTATTTCATCACAAATTGCTCCCATCTAGATTGTCACGCCTCTCTGCTTTTACGGAGGGCGGGGGGTCAAAATCCTATTGCGATCCCCTCTTGGATTCGGCAGGGCTGCGGACTGCACACGCATACATAGACCCACATATTTGCCCCATGCCCGTTTAGAATGGCAA